CATGGGGAAAGGATCATCCATGGACCTGAGGGCTCCAGACATCAAGTGATTTTGTATCGAGCCTTCTTCTGAAGTCATGTTCCAATCACCGAACAGAATGTGTGGCCCTCGGAATGCATAGCACGCAGCCGCGAGCTCATCCACCATGAGGTTGGTGGTGGGAGGATCCCCCGAAAACCCGTAAATGGCAACCATGAGGAGAGGTCGGCGGATGTGTTCAGCCTGTGTTTGTTTCAACGAGAATGGCTGCATGGCGAGTCCGCGCAATTTCGGTTGTCAGGCTGACGGGGCGGTACTGAATGCGGCACGCAACGGCGACCCTGTGCAATCCTGAATGTGGTTCGGCTTGGGCCAAAACAATTTGCCACCCCAAAGTTCTCCACTCCCTGGCGTATGCTGCCGCACACCGCTTGGGGATGTCAACTTCTTGGAGGGAAATGATGTCGGGACTAAAATTCTTTAAATGCTGGAGAGTCAAGACAGTGCGTGATATGCCAGCTCCAGCCAAATTGCAGGAGGCAACCCTGATCACACCTGCGACTTGAGCTCGCGCCCCTGGAGGGCTAGCTTGGCCAATGCAAAGATTTTTAGCGTCTCGGCCTCAGACATAGTATTTTTGCTTGGGTGCTTCAGGCACCAAGCGCGGACCTTAGCAAGATCAGCAAGCTTGCGTTTGCGGCTGTTGGCTACAGTGACGGCTTTGCAGGTTTTGTGATTGTTGACACAAGCGAGGTTCTTGAAGCACATTTGGCAAGTGCCGCAGCGCCAGGCTCGTACAAAAGAGATGCGGAGGTCTGGCCGGCCTTTACGAAACTTTTTCAAAATAGGCCAAAGAAAACTCTCAAATCCCTTGTGCAAAAGTTCAGTGCGCTTGGCAAAGGTCTTGGATACGGCGGCATTCCATTGGCGAACTCTGGTGGCCTGGGCATGGGAAGATCCAACATGGGCCTGTTGCCTGGCCGCCTGATTCTTGCGAGGGTGTTTGGTACGGAGGTGCTCGCGAATCGCCTGGGCAATGATTTTTGGGCTAGCGGCCTCCCCTACAGCTCTGCGTATGCCGCTACGGCACCATTTGCACTTCCAGAACAGACCTTTGTCCTGATCTGTCACTTGCACAACGTACTGCTCGCCACGTTTGGCCAAGCCTGGCAAGCCCTCGCCACCATGGTGGCGCATGCAGTGAGAGTAGCGCGCAACTGAAAGTTGTTTCTGATTTGCAACTGGGGTGCGAAATGCACAAAGTCTGCATATGTAGTAGCCTTTATTTTATGCGGGACGTCCCCAGGGACTTGTGCCTTATAGCGCTTGCGCTTGCCTGTGGTGGCTTGGCTGCTGCCGGCTGGGAAGGCTTCCTCATCAAGAAAATCAGCATCGGCAGCATTACACGTGGAGCCCTGACAAACCTTAGAATCAAGAAGGGCCTGGGATGAAGCAGGCGGCTGCGAGGTGGGAGCATGGGTCCACACCGTGCCGGTTTGGGATTGGGTATCTCCATCAGGCTGCTGCAAGACTGAGGCTGCATCAGGGTGTTTGGCGGAGGGCTTGCTGGTCTGTGATGCGAACGTTTGCAAGATCTGAAAGGGTCTGTAATTTTTGGTGCCGCACTGACAGCAGCGTCGAATGGAGCGGGATGGCAGTACCTGGCGGGGTGGATTTAAATTTAAGGTCTTCTGTAAGATGGTGCCGTAGTTGGTGCCACACTTCTGGTGATATCGAATAATTCGTTGCTGCCGGGCTGAACAAGTCGTGATAGAAGGTATGCAGCAGTGCTTTCATCGAAGGGAAAAGGTGGCAAGCCCAAAGTGCCAGGCCAACAAACCGTTCAAGATCCTTTTTGGAAATTTTTGGTTTGCGCTGAAGATCCTGAACCATCCCTAATAATTTGAGGCGTTTTTGCTCCTGCAACAAGACGACTCCCGCGGTATAATCAAAGTCCCAACCTATCCATTGAACCCGACTATGCAGTTGGAGTTTCCGCCAGGATAAGGGAAGGCCAATCACCTGAAAGAAAAGGCATATCATGGCTCCTGTCATGGGCATGATCGCCGCCAGTTGCGAGAACAAATAATCATCCACAAACAAGTGACCCGTGTGGCTAATGAAGATGAGCACATGTAAAATGCGAAGGATACATGATCCCAATCTGCCCCACCAGTGCTGAGCGAAGACTGCACCGAATGGTGCCACGCGATAGAAATAAAGATCATCCTCCCAAGAGAATCCAAGCAACCCATGTTCGGCAGGTGTTACAAAGACCCTTTTATGGGCGGATTTCACGTCCAACGATATGGCCGATTGCCGAGCGTTGCACTCGCGAAGTGGGTAGCTGTTGATCACGTCCCTTGCAGATGGCATGTGCTGACATTCTGGGACGTCACAATTGGCATTCGTCCCACAAACCGAATTGTCAAGCACTAGTCTTTCCGCACGCCCTGGAGCACGTACTACAGAAAGCTTCCCTATTGCGAGAGCAGGCCATTTTGCTTTAGCTTCGGCAAGAGATCCCTCAAACTTATAGCAGAACCCTTGATTGATTTCTTCTTCAAGGAGCGCTTGCGTGACTGAGGGCTCGACCGATGCTGAACGCCAGTTCTGCATGTGGATCGTTAAGGGAGCATCTTCGACGTTGGTTTTTTGATTTGGCCAAAAGCAGTGGGAAGGCGGAATATCGTTGTTGTAGCCTGTAGGCACACCACGTTGCAAACATGGGAACAAACTGATATCCGGGTCACCGCAGATGCCTGCAAGTTTCTCAAGAACATGCAAGGCCAGGGGTTGGTGTTCCCGAATCCGCCAAATTTGATTATCCTCATGCAACCCCAAACTTGCAAGAAATCCCTGCCTAACCTCTGAAACCTCGGACTGTGTGAATAATGGTTCGGGACTGGGCCATGCTGCCTTTGCAAGAAGACGCTTGTCACCTTGCATGCGGGCGACACAGCTCAACAGGTAGGTACGAAGCGGTTTCAGCTTATCGGAGCACAAAGGGCTGCTCCAGTCGCCACAAGAGTGACGCCCTGCCCCGTCATGGAGAACCCAAGGTTCTGCCTGGATCTCTTTGACTGGAATCAAAGCCGAGGCTGAAGCAATTGTGTGATCTTCCGAAGGGCCCGAGAGCAGGGGTCTAATGTGTAAAGCGAAGGTTTCTGCCAGTGGTTCCGGATATTTGGCTGTATCTCTGCTCCGAAATGTGCCTGACTCGGAGCGGCCTTGCATCACTGGATGAGCATCTCGCCCATGCGAGCACGTTTGGCCCATGAGACCGAGTGTCTTGAAGCTGCTGGCAAACAACCATGTCTTTTGCCAGTTTGCCCCAAAAGCACATGCTGCACAAAGGACAAGCACGACCGAGCCTGCATGGAGCCAGCTTTGCGTACATGGCTCCTCCCAGGACATGGCCCCTGAGGGTTGTTCCACATGCGAGTGGCCTCCTGCCGCATGCACGACTTTTGCGCACTGACACGCTCGGGATAGCACCTCATGGCTTAACCTGAACACGAGACCTGGGCTTCTGCAGAGTTGCCAGGAATTCCATCAAGAAATTCAGGTGTCCGGATAGCATATGGTTTATCACCCCTAAGTTTCAAGCGGCTGTACTCAGAACGGCAGGGTGAGGAGGCGCAATAACCCACTATGCCCGAACCACAGATAAACAAGAGTTGCTCGAAGAAGTCGTTGTTCAGAATATCCATAGCGGGGTCCAAAAGAATATCAATGGACAGCACTGGCAAGCTGAGTGCAGCGACTGCTGACGATAGCGGCTTGTCTAGACCTGAACAAATATCCAAGAAAATCCTTGAACCTGGTTCCTGGGGAATGGGAACGGACGTAGCCCGAGGCATTTGCTTAGGGGGGTCCGGGACTACCTTTAACCTATGGTTGGTAAATCCGAAAGGCGTGGCTTTGCCCCAGTTGATTGGGGAACCTGCGATTGGAGATGGACGCTGCTCGGTACCTGATGAAGACGTGACTGCTGCTGGAGACGCCTGCTTAACAGGAGTTTTGGCTTGTTCAGCTTCCGGAGAGGCCAAGCTCGACTGCGTAATAGTTGGGAAACCCAAGTCTGGGAGCCCTGAATGAGAAACTGAGGGAAGCGAAAAGCAAGTGAGAACCCATCTATCCCCCAACCATGGCTCTGTGCAGTGCCACAGATTACATGGGAATTTTTTAGGGGCATGCCGCGTGCAGGTGTAGGACCCAAGGAGGGTTTTACCTAGAGCAGGAATGAATTTTTCGACTGAACCCGAGGGATCTTCTATCCAAAGGCGCCCGCCTGAAAAGGTTCCGACGCTCACTGACAGATTGGAAGAATGCTTCAAGTTGGCTGAGTCCCTGTGTGGGGTTGTCAAGACATTTCTGCTAACGCATAAGGAGTTCCATGTTTCCCCTGGAAAACACTGCTGAAGGAATTGATTTAGCTCGATACAAAGTTCCGGCAAAGCTGTTGTGACACTGGTTAAGGTGTTCCTGTGACTAATCTGAACTCCGAAGTTCCAATAACCTGAATCGGAGTGAGCCGTTGAGGCTGCCGCACGGTCTGGGGCAGCACGTGCTGGCCATGTTGCTGCGATCAATGCCGCTGCACAAGACTCAAAATCATGAATGCACGATGCGCCCGATGATGCAACGAAAACTTCGCCCGGCTGCACGCCGGATCCCAATGCCTCCGAACCTGCGGGCCTTGATCCCAACACCGCAAGGGTGCTGTGGGGAACTCCCAGCATGGGAGGAACAGAAGACCCCACACGTGGGATTCCTTGCGCAAAGGTGGAGTCCGAAAAGCCTCGAGCCTGCGGACCTGGAACGTATGCCGTGCCGCTTGCCTGAGGACCTGACTGCTGCACTCGAAGTCTTTTTGACTGCTGAGAATGCAAATTTAGTGAATCGGGATTGTGCTGCAAAAGCGCTGGGGCTTGGTCTGAAGAATTATGTGGTGAAACCGGAAGGGGGTGGGGATCCGAAGAAACCACCCCTGGCATGCTTATGGGATTGGGGCTAAGTCAGTGTGGAGTGCTCTCGTGCTGCAGTGCGGTATGCGTCTTGCTTCCACAAGCTTGCCCATTGGGTTTCGGGAAGGCACAGGCGTGTATGAATGGACACGCGTTTCCACGATTGCAACGACTCAGTTGCCAATTCACACACAGTGGTTTGGACTCGGACCCCGCCATAATGGACTTCACAAAGTTGATATTGGAGCCGCCTTTAGCCTCTTTGGACTTGCTTTTGTCCTTTCCCTTGCCTTTCATAGCCGCTTGGGATGCGTAACCCTTGGCATAGGATTCCACGAGCATCTTCCCTAGACCCTTGTTGGTTTTGCCTTTCCCGTCCCAGCCTTTGGGAATGGGAGGAGGACGCGCTCGAGCTTGAAGAAGACTGGGCATCTCGCCCCTGACCTCTGTAAATTCATAGAGTGCATCATCCATAGTCCAGCCTTTGTCGGTGACCAAGGTGATCATGCCCTGCCACAAGCGGCAATCAGCCTGTTGTGCCTCAAGTACTGATGGTGGCCGTAAGCCCGATGATGCGTCGAATTTTTGAGTCAGCAGTGAAATGAACTTTGTCGTATGGCCCTTCAACCTGGCGAGATGGGCCGTTCCAACCATTGCCAAGGATACGTCATGAACATTCATAAGCTTCTGAATAGCATTCACCCCCATAGAGTGGTCCTGGATTTCAAGTGCAGGAGGTTCGTCAAGCAACATACCAGAAAGCCCGATGGCCTCAAGCCGTGGTTGCTTGTTGGGGCGAGACATCAGAATCTCTGATGCTCGCTCTTCCGTCATCCTGAACTTCCAGGGGATCCAGCGCCAATCCTTCTTGTTCTGCTGGTGGGATGCGAGGCTTAGCAACCTTGTTGACGGCTGGGTGGAATAGTTGAGGATCTCGGACGGGTAGTTCACCAGATACTTACGTTTCATCTCGGAAATCGAAGAGGATGATATCTTTGGGGCAAAAGATTCCACCCATGAGCCTTCACGAGGTTCTGTTGCGGCAGGGGTTGGAGATTCTGCTGAGCCGGAGGCCCCAGATTCCTGCAAAGTACTCCAGACAGAACGAATTGTCGCTTTCTGAAGAGCTGTCAGCACCTTTTCCGGGAAAATTTCGCCCAATACAGAGTCTAATTCTTCCAGTTTACTGACAGCATGCTTGAAAGTAGATGACTTCCAACCGCTTGCAACAGCGAGATCGGCCAGCTCGGGAGAGAGGCCTTCTGATTTCAGAAGCTCCGCCAGTTCCATGGCAGGTACCCTTTTGTACTAGTGGGAATCCTAATGACTATGGCATATGAGCGCAACAAAAAGGAGTTACCAGATAACCCTAAAAGAATGGTACACGCCATCACATAAGGGACATTTGAGCAGCTGTCCTGAGGCCACCCGGAAACTTGTAGTTGCATGCGCCTGACAATTGTGGCCTAGCAGCAGCAGTGTGCATGATGGCTGAAATGCGCAAACGGCCGACTGCAGTAGCTCGTGACCGCTTTTTTCCTGATATTCACAAATCTGAGATCCCACAGCGACCAAGGACTATGCAACATGCGCGGCGTTTGCACAAGGTGATTGCTGGAGAATACTGCTCGCACCAAGTGATATCATCTGCTTCCAAATGAACGCCACAAACTGGTCGCAGCTTTTGACCTCGAAAGGTGATCCCAAAAGGCCCTGAGGTAGGCACCATCGCATGATGAACACCTGTGCTGGATGCGAGCACCAACTCCTCAGGATCTCCTAAGTCGGGGACATTGGGCGATTCGTCGCCGCTGCTGTCCAGTGATTCCTCATCTGATGACTGAACATCCCAAAGTGGGGCTGGGACGACTGGCTTGGGTATCTCTGATGTTTTCTCGAACTCAGGCAGATGTAATCCATCCTGCATAACAAACTGAGGGAAATGTTCGAACGGAGTGGAATCTGCAACCTTGCTGAATGATTCAATCTGCACTGGTGGCTCCTCCAGAGGGTGCTGGGAGCCACGATGAAGCGGGGTCATGAGCCGAGCGCCACCGGTTATGGCGTACCGCAGTTTCTGTTGGCCCCTCAGAGCTGGAATAATGTCCTCACGCGAGTACAGCTGTGACGAGCTGAGCCTGTGATGGCCCTGACATTGTTTCTCGATTTGCTGGACTTCAGGACGCTGACCCATCCAAGATAAGAGGGTGGTTTTCATGGAGTGCACTGTATAATTAAGTTGGACTTCATGGGGGACGGGTACCTTATGTTTTTTCCAAGGAAGAGTGATAGCATAACGAAGGTGCCGAAGTGCAGCAGCGTACCCCATAGCCTGCAAGGGGTACACAGGATCCCCTGATGCCCCAATCGAGAGCAGGAGGCTCGAAGGCAACGGATGATCCGGGTGAAGGCTGCTGTGCATGCATGCTACTTTGTCCAATGTCCGAAGAAACCGATGCACCCATGTAAAAGAACCGTAACTGAGCAATCCCTGGCAAATCACCCCAAACGGTTGTCCTTGTGATGTGGTCTTAGTTTGGTAAGTTTGGTAGCATGAGCCCCTCAATGTGGAGCCGTCATAGGACAATGATCGCCAGTGGACTCTTTGTCCGTCCATAAACCGAAGAGAACCCCAAATAAGGATCAAGAATCCCCCAAGGATAAGGACTTCTGAGTCCGTGGCTTCTTGCATCAGCAAGCGTCGCTCAAAATGCATAACGACATAAAGAGACAAGGGCACAGCTTCCTTGCGTTCACGGGGAATCTTGGATTTCAGAAAGCTGGCAATCAAGGGTGAATACGCAACTTCAAAGCATGCTACTTCGAAAGTACGCTTAACCCACCTGATAGCCTTGATGGCAGTCGCTGAATGAGTTCCCGATTCCGGGTCACTGCTACGCGCCAGGCTCAAAACGACAAGAGCATCTGCAAGCTGAACCGAGGTCAAAGATTCCAAGGAAAAACCCAAATCAAGAATGGTTTCTGCAAGCGATTTGAAGGCCGAGCTGTAGCGAATCACGGTGGCTGCTACAAACATCTGAAGAATGCGACCCACGTGGTCCTGACTACTCTCTTGCAAGGATGCACCCAGAGCGCTCAAGCTGCCAAGAATGGAAAACAATGCCATAAAGGCTGCACGCGCAACTTTGCTGCGAGAAGCGTTCTCACTGATTTTTGGGGTTTTTGATCGTTCCGAAGGCATTACAGGGGGCTTTTGCTTAGAGGAACCCGGCAGGGCAGGGCCTAAACCCGAACAGGATGCATCCGAAATCGCCGAATCTCCGAAGCTTGTACGCCGCACCGATGGTGCAGGTAACGGGTCCCCGGCCGGGAACACCTCGAAGGAGACGCACGATGAAGGCTCAGGTGCCACGTCCAAACCTTTCGCGGGAAGGGCAGGAGCGGGCCTACTAGGTCTAGGGGCAGGCACTTGAAGCGGCAAACTCGTGTGCACTGGCTTCGAAGTTTCACTGGCACTGATCGGTGCTTTGCAAGCTATGCTGACGCCGGCAGGAGAAGCCTGCTTCCTATCATCAGGATCCAAAGGCCGCTTCATATTTATTCTTCGTCACGACACCCGTAGAGGATGGCTGAACGGATCAGATTTCTGCGATTCCAAGTGCAAAGAAACCAGCTCGCCCCCAAGAAGTGCACCCTGTCGGAGGGCTCCAAGAATTCCCAAAATCTGAAGAAGAAATCCGGTCGAGCTGAATGAAAGAAGCCCTCGATCGAAATAGCACTTGACGAAATGGAGGCAGCTGATGCAACGGAACTGACTTCAGAGATCGGACTTGCGGCTGCCGGCTCAACCTCAGGCTCCGCACCGATCTCCATAGGCCCACTTATGGGGCAGACGCTCCCCCCCTACGGCCGAGAGGGTTTCAAAGTAAAAGAATTTGTTGGAAGGTTGAAGTCCTGACAATTGTAGGACATGCGATCTGAACGTGACATGAAATCTCTTTTCGAATCCGCTAGCAAGCACAACTGTTTACTGAGCCAAAATGTTTCGCACACATAAACTATAAAACATATGTGAATAAATACACACAACTGCTGGTGAGATCCAGCAGGTCACTTTGCCCAGTGACACTGCGGGAAGAAGTGCACGTCTTTTTTACCTGTTGCAGCAAGCTTTGGCAAAGTGGGACAGAGGACTGGAGATCCTCCGGAGTGTTTCGACACGCCAGAGCAATGCAGCTGCAGGCTATGAGGGTGTGCGAGAGCTTTACCGGCAGTACTCTGTGAACAGCCGCATGGAGGCGGTGTATATCAGAGACGAAATGCTAAAGCTCCACACCAAGACTGGTGCACTGAAGCGTCCTCTGGAAGTTGTGCGTTTCCTCGAGGACGAGATCTCCAAGGGAGATAAAAAGCTGGTGCGTTTTCCCGACCTCTGCTTGAACGCCGCCGACAGATCGGCCATTTTACTGCAAGCTGTGTCAGTGCAAGCGAGAGAGTACTTGGTCTTGCATGGAAAGACTGGCAGTTGGACCGAGATGGCGGAGAGTCTTCGTTTTTACGAGGAGCAGCTGCGCATGGTGGAGCTGCCAAGTGGTGGTTTGCGTGGTCTCAAAGGAGACAAGGGCGGGAAAGAAGGCAAAGGCAAAGGAGACGCTCGTGCTGGCAAGGACAAGTCCCAGATTGTCTGCTGGTACTGCGAGAAGAAAGGGCACTATCAAGAAGAGTGCCGCCAGAGGATCGCAGATGAGAAGAAGCAGGGCAAAGGCGACAAGAGCAACAAGCCAAAGGGCAAAGGCCAGGGCGACAAAGACAAAGGAAAGGGCAAAGACAAAGGCAAAGGCAAGCATGGCAAAGACAAGGGCAAGGACAAGAAGAACAAGAAGCAGCACGCACGTGCTGTAGCTGAGGGCGAAGCAGAAGAGGAGCCAGAAGGTGAGACTGTGATGGCTCTTCGTTCTTCTGGCGAGCTGATTCCGGTTGATGCCCGTGGTGGCGTCTTGAGGACGGCTCCTTCGACACCTGAGGTGCCTGCTGCGGCGCACCGAGTGACCGTTGAGCACAGAGTGTGCTTAGTTGGCATTGAGTCGCAAGATAGCTGCTGGCTAGTGGATAGCGGTGCTACTTCTCATTGCATGTCGGTGTCCTGCTTCGAGAAGTATGAAGTCCTTCGCACCTATGATTTTAAGCCCACGCTGTCGAATGCCTCCAACGACATGATTGAAGTGTTGAAGGTGTGTGACGTTCGCGTTCGTTTTGGGAAGCTAGTAGTGGTGCTAGAGCATTGCTTGATCACGAACCTAGATTTCAATGTCTTGTCACCGTTTGTGGCTTGGGAGAGAGGATGGCACACCATGCTAACCAACACACCTCATATTTTCAACAAGAAGAACAAGAAACGCATTCGGTTGACTGTCAAGGATCGCGCTTGGTATGCGGTTGCTGCTTTGAAGGATTCCGGGGAGAAGATGGAGGTTGATGCTTTGAAGCCCCAGGCCTCCCCGAAAGCAACGGAAAAGCCCGAAACCGCGAAACCCCCGAAAGCCACGGAAAAGCCCGAAGCCGCGAAACCCCTGAAAGCCACGAAAGCCCAGAAAGCCCAGAAAGCTCAGGAGCAAAGGTCTTTGGAATCTGTGAAGAGCCTAGAGTACACGCCTTTTAAGTTTCTGCTGAGGAGCTTGAGGACGCACGGTGGTAGTGCCGTTTCGGTCTGTGAGGGTGCTGCTCTGGAGTCTCTTGAACGCTGTGATCTTGACCGCTTAGGCTGTGGAAGCAGTAGTGGCAAGAAAGATTCTGAGGCTCAGCCGTCGTGGACCGCTGGGTCGATGATGATAAGTGTCTGCTTGAGCTTGACACATTATTGCACGGCTGCAGGAGCCTTGCTGGGACTACTACAGTGCACAACTCCACGAGATCAAAACTGTCGAGGACGCTTTGACCGAGACACAGTTCATGAGCACTGGCTGGAACCAGCACTGGAGTTTGAGAGGAATTGCGGCAATCATGGTTTCCGAAGAGACTTGGGATGATTTGCTGTTTTGGGTCCAGGAGTCTGAAACATTCATAACGAAAGTCATGGATTATGGCTTGGAGATGCTGGCGAATCGGTGTGCAACATTTTCCAAGTATGGCTCCCCTCCGGAGTGTTACACCCAAGTGCTGAGTGGTCCTTCTCCCCATGCCATCAATGCCATGAAACTGATGAAGACAGATTGGCTTTGCTTGCAAAGCCTGGAATGCAGTGGCGCGCCTAAGGCTCGCATGCTGAGTGCAGATCTCAGGTTGACTTTTGATCCTTGCATGCGCTACACTGCCCTTCAGTTTCAGTCAGT